GGCTATAAGTTTTTAAAGTGCTGTGCATAGGGCTGGGCGCGGTGGCTCATGCCTGTAATCCCAGCACTTTGGGAGGCCCAGGTGGGCGGATTACCTGAGCTTGAGAGTTCAGGACCAGCCTGACCAACATGGAGACACCCCATCTCTACTAAAAATACAAAAAATTAGCTGGGAGTGGTGGCGTATGCCTGTAATCCTAGCTACTCAGGAGGCTGAGGCAGGAGAATTGCTTGAACCTGGAGGCAGAGGTTGCAATAAGCCAAGATTGTGCCATTACACTCCAGCCTGGGCAACAAGAGTGAAATTCTGTCCAAAAAAAAAATGCTGTGTACAGTACCTGGCAGAGCTGGGAGCTAGCAGAAACGTTTATACCACGGAAATCTTACAGGGTTGTGACGCTGCTCAGATACACCATGATTTGGGTATAGATGACGGTCGGAGAACAAATGAAAGATGACAAAGGTGGACACTACTGCAGGAGGGGACTGACGTGACACAACCTTCAAAGGTCTCATACCAGTGTGACAAAGGCTTACAATAGAATTTGGGAAAAAATACTGGTGGCAGATCCTATGAGAGTTCTCAGCAAGGCCCAAGGTATCATAAACTCTAGGAACATAGAAGATTAGAAGGCTCTCTCTCTTTTTTTTTTTTTTTTTGAGACAGGGTCTTACTCTGTCACACAGGCTGTAGTACAGTGATGCCATCACAGCTCACTACAGCCTTGAACTCCTGGGCTCAAGTGATCCGCCAGCCTCACCATCCAAGTAGCAGGAAATATGAGCATGCACTACCAGGTCCAGCTATATTAAAAAGAAGATTCTTTTGGCACGCATGGGGTCTTGCTATGTTGCCCAGGCTGATCTGGAACTCGTGGCCTAAAGTGATCCTTCCTCCTCTGCCTCCCAAATAGGTGTGAGCCACTGTGCTAAGCTGAAGATTCTTAAAGCTCAGCACACGCAGGAGTTTTACTAGTATTCTTCACAGTTTAGTTTCAGTAACTATGCATTGAACACCCATTGGCTGTTGGGCACTGGGCCAGTGTTAGAAAATTCTCAAATGGTGACTAGTTTCTCAAAATGCTTTTAAGAAACATTTATTAGATACCATCTACCAAGGAGGTGAAAGAGAGAAAACAGTTGACCAAATTGGGTAAGTTGGATACTAGGTTACGTGCATCACCTTTTCTGAATGAACATCAGAAAACAAAATGCCACCAGTGTAATAGGAAGAGAGTTAACAATCAGTGCTGTCCTGGAGTTGCAAGCAGCGGGGCTTGTCCTCTTTGCCAGAACACATTCTTGGCAAGAGGGCAGAAAGGCCGGAAGAAAGGGGTGGAGGTAAGCCAGCCGCCTAGATCTTCAGGCCAAGGCTAGACTTCCCCATTGCAAGGGATGTGAAAGCAACCCCTTCCAGAAGGCGCTGCCAATGCTTTCATCAGGGGAAACCTTTATCCTCCTGGTGCAAGGAAAGACTGGCAGCCGTGAGCCATCCCTGCAGGAGGGAGAACAAGACTAAGGGATGCTAGAAATTCCCTTTGTTCCCTGATGGAATGTTTCCTGTTTGCAGCATGTCCCTCCATAGTCTTGGCGCTCCTAAGTCACAGGAGGTGGGTGTGGGGCACCCCAAGGAGCCTCCACCCTGGCATTAAAGGATGTTTTGCAGGCTCAAACTTGCAGGGCTGGGAGGAGTCGACCTGCTCTCTGGTTGAGTCATGGGGCTTTCTCACTAGGGTTTCTTCTTGCTCAGCTGTGCAGCAGCAGAGAGGGCTGAGGGCACTGAAATGGATAATGGGAACCACTCTGCAAGTGGCCCCAGCTGCTCCTGCTAACGCCTCATCACCTTAGCCTGGGGCCCCAGCGCTGAATGATTAAGCATTTGAAAATCACTTTAATGTCTTGGCATACCGATGCTTATATGTTAGGTGTATGGGTGGATTAAGCAGGAAGGTTTTCTTAGGATTTATCTTCTAGCCCACCAGATTGATTAGCAATGTCCAGCCTTCGGGCAGTCATAGAGATGTGCTGGCTTCTAGTCTTAAAGATGCTTGGATTTCATCTCTCTCTCTCTCTCTCTCTCTCTCTCTCTCTCTCTGTGTGTGTGTGTGTGTGTGTGTGTGTTTTTCAGAGTCTTGCTCTGTTGCCCAGGCTGGAGTGCAGTGGTATTATCTCAGTTCACTGCAACCTCTGCCTCTGGAGTTCAAGTATTCTCCTGCCTCAGCCCTGAAAATAACTGGGGATACAAGTGTGCACCACCACGCCCGGCTAAGTTGTGTATTTTTAGTAGAGATGGGGTTTCACCATGTTGGCCAGGATGGTCTCAAACTTCTGGCCTCAAGCGATCCACCCGCTTCAGTCTCCCCAAGTGTTGAAATTACAGGCATGAGCCACCGCGCCCAGCCAGGTTTCATTTCTGATGGGTGCGTGATATCAATTTCATCTCAGGAGGTTTGGGGGTCCTGTTTACAGCTTCATCTATAGCTGCTATTAAGGTAAACTGTGGCCTTGGTGCCCCCGGAGTCTGCCAGATACTAGGGGCCCATGCAGATGGACCAGCACATAGGCTTAAAAGTGGGCATACCTGGGTGCCAGGATCCTGAACTCACCCACCTCAAGCTTTTGTCTCTTCCACAACAAGAGAGTCTTTCTAAGTAAAGTGCCTAGACCGGCAGCATCAGCCTCACTTGGAAACTTGCTAGAGGTATAAATTCTCAGTCTCTCCTCAGACCTACAGAATCAGGAACTCTTGAGAGGTGTTTTGACAAGCCCTACAAGCAGTTCTGATGTACACCAACATTTGAGAAGCACGGAGCTTGAAGAATCCAAGCTGAAGCCAGCTGGATTCCCTATGCTAAAGGGGAAGGTGGGCTCATAGCCTCTAATCTGACGCTGGGTTTTCACAGGGTTAGGGAAAAACAAGAGTAGGCTGTGTTTAAAACAAACAAGGTGTTGGCTCCATCTGCTCTGGGTCATTCAGCAGGAGACTGGGAGTGGCTGTAATTCGAGGTAGGGGTCTTTGGCTTTGAATTTCATTCTCTGATTCTAGAAGACAACACTCTCTGCAGTCTTCATTGCAAACTCCCAAGCCTCAAAAATGATGAGCATTGAGCCCATTTTTTGGATGAAACATTTTTGAAGGACCCAAACAGGGTGGGGTCGACAGTGGCCCCCAGGTGATGTGGCCGAGGCAGATCTAGGTTTATGGGACCTGAAGCTTATATAATTTTAGTGGGCTTTTTTGTTTTGTTTTGAGACAGAGTCTTGCTCTGTCGCCCAAGCTGGAGTGCAGTGGCACGATCTCAGCTTGCAACCTCTGCCTCTGGGGTTCAAGTGATTCTCCTGCCTCAGCCTCCCGAGTAGCAGGATTACAGGTGTGCACCATTACACTCGGCTGCTTTTTGCGTTTTTAGTAGAGACGGGGTTTCATTATGTTAGCCAGGGTGGTCTCGAACTCCTGACCTCAGGTGATCCGCCCACTTCAGCCTCCCAAAGTGCTGGGATTATAGGCTTGAGCCACCACCCGCCCTTTAGCAGTTCTATTTAAGAAAAATAATACAAAATATATTATGTTCATAGATTTTGCAGAAACACATGACCGTGTGAATGCATGGCTAAGGTCCCCTGAGGGCCATGGCCTGTCCAAGGAGGGGTGCTGACCTTAATGCTCCATTGACCCCAACAGTAACCTCGCCTCTCAGTCCAGGAAGGATGTCTGTCCTCTCCCTGGTCCTTTAAACTTTTTTCCTGGCTCTGATTGGATCACGCCAGCCAGAAGCTAAGGAGACCATTTTTAGCTCCTCTTCCTCTCCTGTCTTTTCCTTTTTAATTTGTTGTTGTTTGCAGCCACTATATACAGTAATATAAATTATCGGGGAAGACTTCTTGCTTTCTTTGCATGGCTCAGAGACAGCTGCATGGCTCCTACAGCGATCAGGGTTTTCCTCATGTTGTACTTTTCTTTTTGTTTTGTTTCTTGAGACAGGGACTCGCTCTGCCACCCAGGCTAGAAGCAGTGGTGCAGTCACTGCTCACTGCAGCCTCAATCTCCAGGGCTCAGCAATCCTCCCTACTCAGCCTCCCAAGTAACTGGGACTACAGGTGCTGTGCCACCACACCTGGATAATTTTATTTATTTTTTTTTTTGTACAGACAGTGTCTCACTATGTTGCCCAGGCTGATCTTGAATTCCTTGGCCTCAAGGGATTCTCCAGCCTCAGCCTCCTGCAGTGCTGGGATGACAGGTGTAAGCCATCGCGCCCGGCCACAGAGCACTCTTCTAACCTTTTCAGATCGTGGCTGCCTCCGTCCCTCCCTGCTTCCTTCTAACCCACTCCTCCTCTTGCCATTTCAGTGAATGGCACCGCCATTTTTTGGTCAGCCAGATCTAAGACCTTGGAACTCCTCTGTCCCTCCCAACATCAAAAGACAAAATGACTTGGCCAAGGGTGGCCGAAATGAACGGCGGAACCAGATCTCTGACTTGCAATTTCAAAAGGCATTGATGGAGAACCCACATGCTGTGATGGCCGGTCTGCCCTTTCCTACACAATAGAGCGTATTCTGCATTTTTAAAAGCCTGGAGAAATCACCTGGGAGTAGAATGCAGCATCTCCTGGCACCAGACCCTGAAATTCACAACACACGAGTGGGCACATGAGCGGATCCCACTCTCCATCCTTGGACCTGACATTCCCCAGTCTGCCACTGGCATTCTGAAAGGCTCTGGGGGGTACCTGAAGAGACTGAGGTGTGACCAGCAGGCCTTCCTGCACTGAATGGTTCAACCGATCCTTTTTTTCCCCCTTCCACTGTTTGACCCTATGGAGCCGTTTTCTCAGATTCACGTTTTCTCAGGATCCCAACCTTGGCCTGGAAACCACATCTAGCTCTAGAGCAGCCTGCCCAGCAGTGTCCCCTGCTGCAGCTGTCCCTGCCTTCCTGGGTCCCCTCTGGGGTCCCAGCCATGCTCAGGGGGCACCCCTCCAGCTGGCCCCTGCCTACCTGAGGACAGCAAGCTGCCACTGCTGCCACTGATGATCTTCCCCTTGCTGCCCATGTTGGCCAGCTTGGAAGTCTTCAGCGTCCCCGTCTCGGTCAGGTCGATGGCGATCTCACTCAGACTGCGTGCCGCATGGATTTTGGACTGGAAGGGAAAGAGCAGCAGGTCAAAGATGGGACTCTCACCCCACGGAGGAGATAGTCATACCTTGCCCGCCCCTGCTTACCGTTTTGACATTCCACAAAGGGACTCATCTCCCTGACTGACATGCCTAATCATTAATCACCAAAACTCTCTGCAAAGGACAGAGGCAGCGCAAGAGCTGCACCAAGCGGGGGACATTATACGCCTCGGATTCTGTAGGCTGCACTGTGTTGTGCTTAAGAGAATGTCCTGATGGAGGCAAAGTGACTTCATCTCACTGAGCCTCATTATTCCCAGCCACAAAACAGGGTAGATGCCACTTGCCACCCAGGGGTTGGTTCTGGTCAAAGCAAAGTGTGGGAAGGGTATTCCTCCCTTCTCCCTCCTTGTCTGCCTGGCACACAGCTCTCAATACACATTGTGATTATAATTATTTGGTGCTTAAATGAGGAAAAAATGATTTTCAGCGTTCTGAATGACATATGAGATTTAAACCTCTTAAAGGGTTAGCCATGTGGTCATGGAAAGTTTAGTTGATGGAGAAGTGACAGTGGTTCTCCAGCTTGGGCAACACAGCAAAATCCCTTCTCTATAAAATATTAAAAAATTAGCCAGGTGTGGTGGTGCATGCCTGTAGTCCCAACTATTTGGGAGGCTGACACAGGAGGATTGCTTGAGTCCAGGAGTTGGAGGCTACAGTGAGCTGTGCAATGCCTCGAAGCTGGCCAACAGGGGCAGCAATGGTTGCACCATTGTACCCCAACCGGGGCAACAGAGTGAGACCCTGTCTCTTTCCAAAAAAAAAAAAAAAAAAAAAAAAAAAGAAGAAGAAAAAAATGACAGGGACAGCTCTCTAGACCTGCAATCACAGGGTGCATGATTGTGGAAAAACTGCTCATTTGGGTTCTGGGGTCCCACTAACTAGCGTTTGACATGGTGCTTTGCTTGTGTTCTGACATCTAAGTGCATGTGCCCAAGTCTTCCTATTATCGTTGAAAGGCCACTTACTTCAGTCCATGGTGATTGGTTCTATTTGGTTAACAGTCACAGCAGGTGAGACTAATTAGAAAACAGGTCTGTGTTCACATTTACATTGCAAAAAGCAATGGGTTAATTTTTAATTTTTTTTTTTTGAGACAGAGTCTCACTTTGTCACCCAGGCTGGAGTGCGGTGGCCCAATCTCAGCTCACTGCAACCTCTGCCTCCAGGATTCAAGCGATTCTCCCGCCTTAGACTCCCTAGTAGTTGGGACTACAAGTGCCCGCCACCACACCACGCCCAGCTAATTTCTGTGTTCTTAGTAGAGATGGGGTTTTGCCACGTTGGCCAGGCTAGTCTCGAACGCCTGACCTCAAGTGATCCTCCCGCCACAGCCTCCCAAAGTGCTGGGATTATAGGCCACACACACCCAGCCAAAGCAGTGGCTTTTCTGGGGATATCTGCTTCCGCTTCCTTCTCTGGTAGTGACAATGTTTTTGCATTTCCCACACGTGTGTCCAATGTCTGCTTGTCTGCTTGTTTCCTTCTTCAATCAACTTTCTGTGAGTGTGCTTAAGGCAACAGGCTTTGCCTGTATGCGGAACTTTGTGAAAACAACTAGAAACAGTGGGATGCCCCGCACACTTGCTCATCTGTCCTTTCTGCGGCACACACGTGGGCGGAACTGGGCAAGGTTCACTGTTGAGGCTTCACGCCTGGCCTGTGGAATGCCATGTCTTCTCCATACATGGGAGAAAGCAGGCGTGGGGGCACTGGCGAAGGCCGTGCAGGGCTGTGGACCCACCGCTCCTGGATGTCCTCCGTACGGGCTTCCTTCCATGCCCAGGGGCCCTCATCTGTCCAGCCAGGACTCTCTGGATGCCTGCAGCTCTGCCCTTCCTCTGCCCTCAATGTCGCTGTCAGTACTGGCAAGGACAACTTCCGACCTCATGTTAACACGACGGAAATCTGCGGGCCGGAGGAAGTGCTGAGACGTGGCGCTCGTTTTGTTCACCTGGTGTGAACCGTCTTCCTCCTCCTCCTCCTGTCTACCCCATGGACCTTGCCTCGACTTATGCCTCTTTCCTAACCTCAACTTTCTTCCTTGCATTCAGACCCAAGTCGACTTCCTCAGGGGAGTTTCCTTGTTCATAAAACAATCCTGGCTGCCAGGCCCTCGAAGGATTTCGGCTTGCCGCAGAAGGAAGGAAAACGGCCTTTTATGTCATTTTGACACAGCATATCAATTGCACCCATCTGGTTGAGTTTTACCCTCTTAGCAAGCATGGTACGTACAATCCATGACTTCCTTTCTTTCTGCACTGCTCTGTTACAGAGACCCATGTTTTAATAAAAAGTAGCCCACTCCCAAACGGTGATGTACTGTTACTAACAGTAACTTATGAAGGCCTAGACCAATTCAACGCGGGGTGAAGGGTCTGGCCTCTGAAGTCAGAATGACCTGAATTAGAGGCCGTGTTTGATAGCTCAAGCCTGTCATCCCAGCACTTTGGGAGGCTGAGATGGGTAGATCCCTTGTGGCCAGGAGTTTGAGAACATCCTGGCCAACATGGCAAAACCTTGTCTCTATTAAAAATACAAAAATTAGCTGCGCATGGTGGCATGCACCTGTAGTCCCACAGTCCCAGTCCCAGCTACTTGGGAGGCTGAGGCAGGAAAATCACTTGAAACAGGAGGGGGAAGGGGGGCGGGGGGCAGAGGTTGCAGAGAGCAAAGATCACGCCACTGTGTGATCTCATTCTTGCCTTAGTGCGAGAGTGAGACTGTCTCAAAACACACAAACAAACAAAAAGCAAAAAACAAAACCCCTGAATGAGAACCCTGACTTTCCAGGGAATCACTATTGGACTTTGACCCTTCACTTTCCTGATCCTCAGATACCTGTTTGTAAAATGGAGGTCTTAAAACCCACATCCCAGAGTTATGGTAACAATAAATAAAACAAACTCAACCTTCATTTAAACAAAAAGGAAAAAGACACCAAGATGAGAAGAAAATAATAAAGTCGATGATATTTGTAAAGGGCATTGCAGCAAGAATGGGATCTGCATTAGAGCCGGGCTGTAGTTTGCTTAGATTGATGGCCCAACCAGATATTTTGGGGACCTCACTAATCACATGAAAAACTTGTCCCTGTGCCATAACAAGACTCTTGCCACACATCAACCTTAAAACAAAAATATGGACAAAAGGCATCCTTCCTAAAGGGGACTAGATGCCTGGAAGCTTTAGAAAGCTACCAGATTTTTCTTTTTTTTTTTTTAAACAGAGTTTTGCTCTGTTGCCCAGGCTGGTGGAGCGCGGTGGCCCGATCTCAGCTCACTGCAACCTCCGCCTACCTGGTTCCAGCAATTCTCCTGCCTTGCCCTCCTGAGCAGCTGGGACTATAGGCATGGACCACCATGCCTAGCTAATTTTTGTGTTTTTAGTAGAGACGGGGTTTCACCACATTAGCCAGGCTGGTGTCGAACCCCTGCCCACCTTGGCCTCCTGAATTGCTGAGGTTAAGGGTGTGAGCCACCGTGCCCTACCCAGATTCTTTCTAGAATGGAAATATCACAGTGACCTAACAGACTCAGTGGAGAGTGGACTGGGAGGACGTGGGCACTGACAGGGAGAGTCTCTCTTTGCAAAGTCCCCAGACTCCGGAACGTTTTGCTCTGCAAGTCTGTCCCAACACACCTGACTCAGTCTTCTCACTGATATTCATGGAGCAAGGCTTCAATGTCCTTGTCCCCCTTTTACTCTGCCTTTGACCCTAGATAGAATGGAGAACTGCATCCGGGAGAAAAAAAAAAAAAAAAAAACCATTAGGAAGAAGGAAAGACGTTTGGATTGGGGGCCAATTCAAGAAGCTCCCACTCCGAGTTCCGAGGGAAAGTGTCTAATGTTTACTCTAAACATTTTGAGCTTTCAAATATTTTCCTGCAAAGTCTCTAAGACATTCCTTGGCTCTGTGCTTCAGAGGCTGCTGGGATCTAGCAGACATTTGCGATCTCTGGGTCAGCATGTAAGTTACCAGCAGTAATCGCTGCCTGTGCGGCTTCTCATTCTGAAGGAGCTACAAATAACCAACCAGCACAGCCCCCCTCCGCCCTGTCTTAGACGGTACAATGGTTTCTTGATGTATATGCGTGGAGTGCTGATGGAGGGAGGGAAGGGGGGAGAGAGAGAGTGACGACAGAGAGGAAGGAGGAGAGATTTCCTTAAATGATCTGCACAGCCCCCCGAAAAGAAAATAACCAAGTGTCAAGAAAGCACCTGAACCCTCACAGCTCCCCACCCTCACTGACTCAAACCACTAGACCGCACTTGTCTCTCTGTGGTTGAGAAAACATCACTTGGGAGGCCTGGGCTTTGCTGAAGCTCTTCAGAGAAAGGAATGGTTGGCACGTCCCAGTACAGTGTGAGCAGTGGCCAGGATGCCAGCCAGAACTGGCTGCCCAGAAATATTATGTAGCTCTCTGTCCCAGCCTCATCAGCCATCACTCACCCAGAGGCTGTGCTGCCCATCAGAGATGAATCACATTGCTATTCTATAAAGAACATTCCGGAAACAAAAAGGTGTTGTAATGTAATTCCCAAAGGGAATGTCCTCATTTCTGATTTCATTTGGGGGCCTTTTAGAGAATTTAAACTTCATGCAAGTGTCGGCCAGGGACAGTACGCTAGATTAACAATGACGTTCATAAAAGATGGCATGTATTTCCTCAAGCAATTTCACAAACGTGGTGCCATTTGACCAATCAATAATTGAGGTCAGGAATTTTATTTGCTGCTAATTGGGGAAAGTAAAGCACCAATGATGAAACGCCCACCCAGGGTCCCAGAGCTGGAAAACAGAGGCCTCCAACTCCCACGTGGCGGGTGGCGATCCTCACCTGTCACTGCAGGCTGGGGAACTGGTTCCTATGAAAAGCATGGGGGCTTTATGGCATCTGTGGGTATACCAGGCTCCCTGGGAAAGATTCTCCCCCTCTTCTTCCTGGGAGTATGGGCATTTTCTTCAGTCCCCCAGGGTTACTTTTACAAAAGGGACAGCTGAAACTTTCCTAATGCTATGGGCATTTGGTTTTGTCTCCTAAAAGGCACGTGTTACTAAGTGATCTACAATTTTTTTTTTTTTTTTGAGATGGAGTCTCTGTCAACCAGGCTGGAGTGCAGTGGTACGATCTCAGCTCACTGCAACTTCTGCTTCCCCGGGTCAAGCAATTCTTCTGCCTCAGCCTCCCCAGTAGGTGAGATTCCAGGTGCCTGTCACAATACCTGGCTTTTTTTTTTTTTTGTATTTTTAGTAGAGATGGGGTTTCCCATGTTGGCCAGGCTAGTCTCGAACTCCTGACCTCAAGTGATCTGCCCACCTCGGCCTGCCAAAGTACTGGGGTTATAGGTGTGAGCCATGGCACCTGGCCAATAATTTCTTTTTGAGATGTACTTGCTGTGTCAGTGAGGTGACCTATTAGCCTGTTGAATAACAAGCCTTTCCAACTGCAGAATGAGACCATCTTCCAGGGTTGGGTGGGAAAGCCCTAAGAACAAGCTTCTTGAGATGCCCAAGAAACCACCTATGCAAAAAACCAGCACAGAGAGAAGCTCGACCAGCCAATGCTGTGCTATCCTCAGGCAAAATACACATTTTCTCTTTCCACACTGTGGTACAGTGTGTGTGGGGTCTGCCCTCAAGAGGAACTGGCAGTGGGGTTCAGGAGCATTGCCCAATCCTCTACCCTCACCATCTGTCACCCAACAAAAGAGGATGAAATCAGTGTTCGCAGGTGTTGACCTGCATTGGCTGCCCCTGGAGAGCAAAACCCTGACACCCACCAACCGTGTCAATATCCAGCATGAGTCAAAACACTTTGGCCCCGTTTCTTTTGATCTAATCGAGCTTCAAATTCCTGTGCTAGGATCCATCATTGCCAGGATAGCTGAGGAGAATACTCTCATTCTTCCCAACAATAGAAGTCCTCCGTCCTGCACTCATTCATCCCAGAAAATGACCAAAACAGGGTTCAGAAAGAAGTCGATGAAAAAATATTTTCCGAAGGAGAAAATGATAGCTACAGGGGACAGACCTCGATTTAATACTGAAGTATAGAGGGATTGTTTCATTTCTTCCTGTCCTCTTTTCTTCTTTTTTTTTTTTTTAGTAGAGACAGGGGTCTCACTATGTTGCCCAGGCTGGTCTTGAACTTCTGAGCTCAAGTGATCCTCCTGCCTTGGCCTCCCCAGGTGCTGGGACTACAGATGTGAGCCACTGTGCCCTGCCCCTGTACTGTTTTCTTACTATCTCTCTCTCATCACCTCCTCCTTGACCCCAACTCACTCCCTCTCCTCTTCCCCAGGGAAAGAGAAACCCCTTCAAATACGGAAAAGATGGCAAAAGAGAAAGAACCTCTATAGAGGGCACCGATTCAAGTGACTCTTGTGCCCAATAAGCATGGCATCGTGCCACCTTCTCCCAAGAACTCCCACAAGGGAGGATTTACCTCCGGAAGTGCTGGAAACCAGTAGCGCAGGCGCCCAGCGGGATCTCCATCTGTATTCCCGCACCCCAAGCCCGCAGGATCTTGAGAGAAGCTGCAGGGCCACCTTGGCAGGGCTCTTCCCCAGGGAGAATTAATGGGCGTGGCTTGTGGGGGACTGACAGGGGAGTCTGGGGAGACAGGGCTGGAGGAAGAGGGGGAGAGTGTTGATATAAGCCCTGTGTGAACCAAGGAGACGTCATCCTCTCACCCACCAGAAAGCGCAGCTGCGTGCCCAGAGTCGGGGGTGGTGACATCTCCCTGGAAGAGGGCTGTTTACCAAGGCCCCAGGCTCCAGGTCTACCTGAGGGAAACAGGGCGGCTGCTTTTGCCCTTTTTTTTTTTTTTTTTTTTTTTTACTTTTCCAGTTTTGCATTTTTTAAAAAAATGGATTTGGCAGTTGGAACCGCCTGAGGGATTTCACAGCAATTACCCTAAACAGTTAGGTGGTGTCTACTCATTGAGAACGATTACTTTTTTTTTTCAAAAGGAAGATAACATGCCACTGTTGAAACATCAGAAAGGGCTTGCCTTTATGCTGCTAGCGGCGGTCTCCCAAGGACCAGAAGCACAGTGGGAATTCCTCAAAAGGGGCCTACCCGGCCGAGACTTGCTTTTTGAGAAGTACTTGTGTCAGTGAGTTGACCTGTTAGCCTTTGAATAACAAGGCTTTCCAACTGCAGAGGGAGACCATCTTCCAGGGTGGGGTGGGAAAGCCGTAAGAACAAGCTTCTTGAGATGCCCAAGAGACCCCCAAGCCCAGTCAGCAGCTTGTGCGGCTCTGATGGTAGGCTGGAGCCCCCTGGACCAAGTTTGATGGAATGTTCCCTCTTGAAGAGCTAGTCTCATTCCTCCCACCTATAGCCCTGAGAGGCAAGTCTGTACCTGTGCAAGGTATGGACGAGGGCAAGGGACATGGCACCTCCCCCACCCATCCAATTCTCATTCCTAAATGAGAGAGGCTGACAATGGCCTCAGGCTGCTCTGAAGCTGGCTGAGGGCTTGGTGAGAGGTCTGGTCACTCACCTTACTCTGCTTTCTGTCCAAATAGAACTGGTGTTGGCTTATGGCCATAGCCCAGATGGACTTGATCAATGCCGGACATGCATACCATGTGTGCACCGCGATGCCGCTGTGCCCAAACGTCCTCCTTGTCACTGAAGCCCTGGGGAAGCAAAAATCACAAGGTTCAACTGTGTTTCTGTTGAGAGAAACCATTTCTTAGTCAACAGCTTCTGTGCAGAACCCACTGGGTCCTGGAAGCCCTGGCATAAAGGCGACAGATGAGCGCTTACACACACCTAAACATACACACACACACTCACGTGTGCACACACATTCGGAGACACTGGCTGGCAAAGGCCACCTTCTGATTTTCTGACCCCCTAGAGTTTGGAATTTGGCCAAGTCTTGGACTTGTCTGGGATAGGATGGGTCATTCTAGGTCACTGGATGGTCCTTTTCAATCTTGGACCTGGCACTGAGCCAAGACAAACTTCACAGACAAGAAAACCTTCAGTGATGCTCCCTATGAGACAGGAAATGTGTCTATGGCAGGGATGAGTACATTCTTTTCTAATCACCACAGGCTGCAGCATCCCAGGGAGTCGGGACTTCTTACATAGCTCTAAACCCAATGTTCCTTGAAGATCTGGTGATCAATTTCCCATCTATTCAGAGGGCAGGGAGGGTATAAAGAATCAGGAGAGGAAAGGCAGAGAGAAATCTGCCCAGCCCCAATTCCTTCAACCTCTGTATGTACATTGTTTTTTAAGACAGAGTCACGCTGTGACTCCAGCCCAGACTGGAGTGTGGTGGCACCGTCTAAACTCACTGCAGCCTCTGCCTCTCAGGTTCAAGTGATTCTCCTGCCTCAGTCTCCTAAGTAGCCACCACACCTGGCTAATTTTTTGTATTTTTTAGTAGAGAGGGGTTTCACCAGGCTGGTCTCGAACTCCTGACTTCAGGTGATCACCTGCCTCAGCCTCCCAAGATGCTGGGATTACAGGCATTAGCCACCATGCCTGGCCTTGTCTATATATTTTTAAACCTACATGGAGTAATTAGACTTTAAAAATGAAAATGGGAACTGCTTATCTCCATATAACTCACCACATTCATAGAGTTGGGGGAAAAAACCTTATATGGTCATGCTCTTAGTGAAGTATATTTTGTAGGATAGGCAGATTATTTTGCAAATGAAATCCGAGAATGTGTGTATTTGTGTGTGTGTGTGTGTGTGTGTGTGTGTGTGTGTCACAAGTTGATGGGAAGGTGAGATGGGATTTGGAGCATTTTACCTAGACATCAGAAACAAAATGTGTGTTCTCAGGATTAACACATCTAATCTGGAAGAAACCTGGGGTCATCAGGACTTGCAAACAGTAACTTTTTTTCCCAATGCTAATGGTCCCTTAAAGAAAAGTGAAAGCTGCCCATATCTTCTTACCTGGGGCGGGGGGGGGGGGGGGGGGGCGGCTAAAGATTTAAAGTGGAGTCTTCTTCACCATCACTTTTAAGGAGAAATTCAAATCTGGTGGTTAATGATACGGATTCTACAGGGGTTGTCTTTTCCCTTCAGTTCAAACAAAAGTGAAGGGAAAAAGAAAAAAAAAAAAGCCAGCTCGTGAAAGAGGGCACAGTTAAAATAATTGAGAAAAGGAGCCAGTGAGAAAGTGAGGGGGGATCCCTCCATGGTCTCTGGAAATTTAAAAGAAAACAGGATCTCTGCTCCCAGCTTGGCTTCCAAGCAGTTGCTGCTCTTGGAAATAAATGGTTTCCCCTGCCGCCAACAGAAAAGCCCAATTAGACAAGAAAATTATCTTGAAAGGCAGTGCAAGGCTTGGTACCTCCATTTTTCAGGAACTGGGAGGAAGAGGTAAGTGGCTGGTCAGGTCTGGGTAGTTCCCCGGAGCATCTAAATCAGATACTCAGAGTTCTTCTCCTGCTCTGTTATTAATTTATCTCCTCTCCTCATCTTTCCCTTCAAGCCATTCCTATTTTGCCCAAACCTTCAAAGTGGAATATTGGCCCAGCCTGGAGAACCTCAGGAATCAAGCTAAGTATTGAGTTAGGATCCCCAGCGGGAGAAAGGGCACTGTGTTTTCCAATGCCCTGCAGGCAACGGTGCAATCACACCTGTGCCCATCAGCTCAGGACGCAGCCTCTGCCCTGAATGATTCCCATCGACTACATCTTCATTAAATGATTGCATCTGGCGCTTCCCATCCCATTACTGCGGTTCTGACTCCTTTCCTGGCTTGGGGGAGGGGCTGAGCCCCGAAAACCATGCTACCATGAGGCCAATCCCATTCCTCTTCCCCCCCTCAAATAAGCAAAGCTGCAGGCAACAGGACAACACATTCCACTGAAAAAGCACAACGAGGTATATTTCAAAGTAACTGGAAGAGAGGACTCTCAGTGACACTGAAACATAAAAAGAGTAAACACTCAAGGCCGTGGATACCCCACAAACCCTGCCTTGATAATTCCATGTTCTATGCATGTAACACACACACACGCAGCCCATAAATACATGAAATATTAACAACCAGTACAAGAGAAAAAAGTCACCACTAGGATGTGAAAAGAGAACTGGGCGCAAGAAAGCCCTTACAGGTCACAGCTCTGGTTCCGTCACCGTGCTAAATAACTGACCTGAAGCCATTTCCTTTCCTCCTGTGTCTTTAAGGCTGAAGTCAACCTGGGTCCCCATCTCCGGGCTCCCTGGGCCTCCCCGTATCCCTGCCTGTCTGCAGGCTAATTCAGTGTACTCAGAGCGAGTTTACCTGAGAGGAGAGAGGAGAGACGGCTCCAGTCGTTCCTCTGGGCTCTTCCACCGCCGACTTTCCTCTAGCCAGACCCTCCCTCACTTCTTTATCCTAATTGAAGAGCCCCCACCTGAGATCTATATCCCCCTGAGGGCCCACCACATGGCTTTAATCCTAGTTACTCTTCCAGGTTCTGCCCAGACCTCTCCTTCCTGGTAAGCCTCTCCCTTCCTGACCAGCCATGCCTCTGGTGACCCTGTCATTCACCCTTCATGGCCCATGACATCTGGCCTTTCCGTACAGTAAAGAGGCGAAGTGCATGAGCTCCGGGCCAGACATGTTAGGTTCAAATCCTGCCTCTCCTTTCTATAGCTACTTGTCATCTAGGGTAGCTTCTTTTGTTTCTTGTGACATCCCTCAGTTCCTTCTTCTCAGCCGGGTTCCAGGCAGAGGCTCACACCTGTAATCCCAGCACTTTGAGAGGCCAAGATGGGAGCATCGTTTGAGCTCAGGAGTTCAAGACCAGCCTGGGCAACCCTGTGAGACCTAGTCTCTCCAAAAAAAAAAAAAAAAAAAAAAAAAGCTGGGTGTGGTGATGTGAGCCTGTAGTCCCAGCTACTTGGGAGGCTAAGGTGGGAGAACTGCTGGGAGGTGGAGGTTGCAGTGAGGTATGATTGCACTACTGCATTCCAGCAGGGTGACAGAATGAGATGTAGTCTCTAAAAAAAACCAAAAATAAGTTCCTTCTTCTGCCTGTCTTCTCAGCTACACTAGAAGATCTTTAAGGAAGAGGACCCTGCCTCCGACTTCCTTCCTTCTCTGCCACAGCTGACACAGCGCCCGAACATGACACAGAAACTTCTCAAGAAACATGACATTGATCACTGCTGTCTAGCAGGCATCAGGCCCACTGAATAGCCACATGTGAGGTCTGGATTCTTTCCTACATCCCTGGGCCTTGGGAAAGAGAATTTAGTAGTACTCACTGATAGGGTGACAGACACGGAAAGAACACAAACACACATGCGCAGATACATGCATGTGTGGTTAAAGGATTTGTCCAAGGTGCCTGGGAGTTCACTGAATTCCCAGCAGAGCACAGGCATGGAGGAGGGTCTGTTCCCTGCACTCAGCCCCTTAGATTACCCAGTCCCTCATTTTTATCCAATGGAGCATCCCCTTTCTGCATTTGACCCCTTGTGGCAAAGTTCATTTCACTTTTTTTTTTTGGGGGGGGGGAGACAGAGTCTTGCTCTATAGCTCAGGCTGGAGTGCAATGGAGTGATCTTGGCTCATTGCAACCTCCGCCTCCTGGGTTCTCCCGCCTCAGCCTCCCGAGTAGCTGGGATTACAGGTGCCCACCACTACGCCCGGCTAATTTTTGTATTTTTGGTAGAGAAGGGGTTTCACCATGTTATGCTGGTCTCAAACTCCTGACCTCAGGTGATCCACCTGCCTCCATCTCCCAAAGTGCTGGGATTACAGGCATGAGTCACCACACCCGGCCCACTCATTTTATACTTAAATTTCCCCTCCTCTTACACACCTAAGAACCTGGTCCGATTCAGTTCACCCGGAAAATGGATAGTGAGTTTCTTCTTGGATGGAATATTATTTTTGGAATCTCCCCACCCGCCCCCCTTGACCTGTGCAGATGAATCTGTGCTCCATGGAGTGGGCTTCTGACCCTGAGAAACATCAGATAAAATATTCTTCTGTTAAAGGCTACCATCTTCACCTGACTGCAGAGACGCAGAAACTGAGCTGCTCTCCACTATTCCTGTAGTAACTGTGCTGCTGAGATAAGCTTTTCCCCTATACAGGAGTGGCTGTTCGAGGCAGATTACCCTGGAGGGCAGGCATGGCTTCATTCCCGCTGGGTTATCACGGGCTGCAGAGCAGGGGCTATTGCACAGGTCCGAGCCCTCTCACTGGGCAGGGTAACTCCCAGTCTTCCTCCTGTCCAGAGCTCGTGGGGGGGCACCGCAGCTTGTTTTGAGCACTAGAAGCCATGTGTGAGCTGGAAATGGTGCCAAGTCCTCTTTCTAAGCCCCGGCTGGGGCGTCAACAGCACCTAAAATCCACTCTGGTCCCCTGTAGGGTCTGATCTTTTCTCCATCTCCGCGGGTCTACCTTCTTAAATGTTTTTGGACTTACGGAAAGTGATTTCTTAGTTGTCAGGCCTGGTTTTAGGGAATGACATTGCTGTTTTGGGGATGCCTACAACTTTAGGTCCAGAGGCAGACAAAGAGAGGAAAACAGTGGGTACCAGCTGCCCAGACCCCGGCCACTCCGGGCTCCCTGCATTCCAATCTGGGGCCCTACTGTCTCGAATCTGACTTAGAAAGCAGGGACTTTTTTACAACACTGGTGCTCTCTGGGGTACAATTTTGGGTGGAGGAAAAAATAATTGCATTTCTTTCACATCCACCCACAATACTAACACCCTAAAATTACAGCTCCTGGAATAAAACAATGGAACACAACCGCTTGTGACAGAGTCATTTTTGCATTGACTGTCCTGCCTGAAACACTTTTAGAAGCTCTGAGGAGGGATTCCTCAGACTCTTCTGTAGCAAAGATTTCCTATGCGGACTTACTGGTGTGTGTAACAAAGTGCCATAAAGCTTCCCTCCAGTGCCCCGGCAGGTAAGACAAACACACACAGACACACACACTCATATAAGCCAGAGACACATATGGCCAGATGAGATGGTCAGGGAATTGCTACTTACACACACACACACGTGCAAACCCAGTGCATTTATCAACATATGTAATCCAAAAGAAAGCCTCACTGATTTGAACTCCATTCCCCGGGAACACCCACCCTCTGTCCCTGCTCCAAACTGACCGTGAACCACTACAGTCCCCAAATCATAAGATAAATAACATGCCCGGCCAAGAGCCACGCCGTCCCGTAAGAAAAGGACTTTTCAAGCTTACCTGCGTGGGTCATGAACTTCCACGGAAAACTTCTTTTCTCTGAAATACAGGTTTTCCAACTGTCTCCATTGGAATATCTGGACAGAAAACAATGTAGTTTAAAACTTAGGACGGGCTGGTTCCTGGGCCGTCTTCCCTGCTCTGCCCGTCAACTTTCCACAGCTGGTAGTTTCCTTATCAAAGCAGAGACCGTAGTTTGTGCTTCCTCCGCCCCTTGCTTGACACACACACACACACACACACACACACACACACACACACACACATACACACACACCCCGACACACGCAGCTCTCCAGTTCAAAACCAGGCAACGTGGGTGTGGATTTTCCTGCAGGTTCCTTAACTGGAACAAAACAAGTTCTTTTCAAGTTCTCCGCCTTTGGTTGGCTTTTGTTGGTGTGCCCCTGGCGGTCCCCAGCTTGGCAGACTTTCCCTTTCCAGGAGAGGGAGGAGAGGTGGAGACGGGAGAGAGGGACCGAGCAGAGAAGGCGGCGGGCGAGGGGAGAGGAGCGAGAGGCGCAGAGCGAGCTCTCAGGAGGGAGCGGTGGCCATCTGCGTGCAGTGCCGAGTCGGGCTTCCTCCCTCCAGTGCTGAAATGGGAAGGCGTTCAGATTCCCAGCCTCCCATCGGGACTCCACTTCCTGCTCACTAATGTGTAAGAGCCTTGCTAAGGGCGGAGGAGGCTGGGACCTTATTTCGGGGGCAGGCAACTCAAGATCACAGTGTGAGCCTGTCAAGCCCATTCTTCCTGCTGCAGCACAAAGAAAACCGAGAGTTCTGTGGCCCGGAAGGACGCCGCTTGCAGCTTGGCCAGGGAGGGTGAGAAGGGGCATGAAGGGGCCCTGGCGGTCCTTCCCCCTTCGGACCAGTGAGCTCGTTAACTAAGAAGCCGACTGTAATGTTTGGAAGTAATTAGGGCTGCCTCCAATTGCTCCAGGAACGCGGTTCCTTTCATTCATTGGATGCAAAAGAAAGTTACTTTCACCCTCTGGGAAATGTCACAGGAGGTTCAAGTTGCGTGCACACACATTTACATTCATATTTGATGGTGACTGCATCCCCTTCAATACACTTGGAATTTCGGTTTATTTTGCAGAAAGAAGGGGTAAAGCAGGAATCTTGTTTTTGCCATTCTGCGGGGAACAGCTTCCCTGAGCTCCCCACTTTCTCTGGTCGCTGAGATGAATGCTTTTTAGGGTCTTAGCCCCAGAGTTCTCAGACCTGAGGCTCCTGACCCTCTCTGGCATCCTTATGTTCTCTCCACCTTGGAGACGTGACAGCCATTTCCTGTATCCCACCCACCTGTCTTCCCACGCTGGGGACAGGCTAGTCAACAGCTGGCCAGTGGACCCAGCACCCTGAATAATACTGGGCTGGAGTGAAAACGGCCTCTGGAATGGCTGCCTTCTTTTATCTTCATAATCTGCTCTCTGGGATTTTACAATTATTTTGTCTGTGTAAGTACTGGGAAGGAGAATATCTATTATCTCTGATTATAGAGCGGCCTCTTTTGTCCCGGGCTCAGAGCGCATTTCACTCTGAAACCCAAGGAAATAGTATTTTACTTTCTTGTTAAGCATCAACTCCAGGTGGGTGGAGAGACATTGCAAGGAAAGCAAATGGCCCAAAGCTGTATGTTGGCTGATAGCTTTGTGTCACAGATTCAACAGCACCTGAGCGAGTCTCATGCTCCTATCTGATGCTTAGTCACTATAAATCTTTCAGTGAAAACACCCAAAGTTCCTCTCTGGTCCCCAGTTGTTATATATTCAGAGACATTCCACCTGAACTTAGCCAGAGCTACAAAAATACCAGAATGAACAGGTTCTATGGCATTGGCCTCATAACCTGGGGGCAGTAGGCTGAGCAAACTGGTCAGGCACGCAGGCTTTGTGGTGTGACTGCATCTGTTTCAATCCAGGCTCTCCTACATTAAAAAAAAAATTTGAGACAGTCTTGCTCTGTCCCCCAGGCTGGAGTGCAGTGTCATGATCTTGGCTCACTGCAACCTCTGCCTCTCAGGTTCAAGTGATTCCTGTGCCTCAGCCTTCTGAGTAGCTGGGATTACAGGAGTGCGCCACCACATCTGAATAATTTTTGTATTTTTTAGTAGAGATGGGGTTTCACCATGTTGGCCAGGCTGGTCTCCAACTCCTGGCCTCAAGAGATCTGGCTGCCTCAGTCTCCCAAAGTGCTGGGATTACAGGGATGAGTCACCATGCCCAGCTCAGACTCCACTAATTCTGAGCTTCTGGATCTTACACAAGTTACAGTACTTCCTTTAGCCTCAGTTTTCCCCTCTGTAAAATGGCAAAAATGACCCCTATGGGAGATCTCAGCAGCTGCAGATCTTAGGACGGTGCTGGCACAAAATGACCTTAGAGCTTACTATGAATCCCAATTGTTCTTACTTCTTCCAAAGGCTGGCAGACTAAAAGAGAGTCATTCCAGAACAACCAGAATCATTCTTTTCTTAGATTTCCTAACTCCAGCCCCAACTTTTGGGTTTTAAAAAAATTAAGTGTGTGCTGCAAATCCTTAAATAGAGATAATTTTTCTCCCACTGCCCCTCCTCCCCTCCTCTTAAGTAAGGGATGTGGATGGTACTTCAATGAAAATTTCCTGCTGGCTGCCCCCGACGGGGGTCTCTCAGTCCCTATCCTGCACCTGCCTTGCTCAGGCAAAGTGAAGTCTTGGACAGGATCAGCCTTCTGGGTGTGCCACCTGAGGGCCTTTTGCTGAGGTCTTTGGCTTAGTTTCACAATCTGCTGTTGACATCTTGAAATTCCTAATAGTTTTTTCATTCTTTCTTTCTGTCCTTTCCTTCTTCCTTTTTCTCTCCCTCCCTCCCTCCCTCCCCCCCCCCCCCCCTCCCTTCCTTCAATTTTTTTTGGTCTTCGTCTTTGTTGCTACATGCTTTAAAAACATTATTTCCATAGGTTTTTGGGGAACAGGTGAGATTTGCTTCCATGAGTAAGTTCCTTAGCAGTGATCTGTGAGATTCTGGTGAGCCCATCACCTGGGCAGTATACACTGAACCCACCTAATGGTTGGATCAAAGGACCCTGTATTTCCATTCTGCACTGGGCCCTGCTCATTGTGGACTTGGTCCTGGCCTTACATCCTGGCAGGTACTGTGGGGTGAGGTCCCTGCCAGCCTAATGGGCAGGCCCAGGGAGGTGGGACCCTCAAACCCTCCAAGAGGAGGAAAGAAAACAGAACCAGGTGTAAGCATGCTTGAGAAAACCCCTGTGCCTTTCATGGGAAGCCCCCTTCCCACCTGATGAAGAATCCCAGCGTACAATGCTCCGAGGGGCTGTTTCCCTGGCAACTCCTCTTTCCCCCATTCCATGCAAAATAAAACACAAACCAAGCCTTGCTTTAAGTGCTCCCTGATGCGGTTCGGCGTGGAGAGCTGCACGTCTGCCAAAGGGCCGGGACAAAACCATCTGGATTCTGCTGCAGCGCCCCGTCCGTGGCTGCTGTACTGCCCGTGGGAAGGCCCTGCCTCCAGCTTCTGCCCTTGGCCATGAACCATGGAGTCCTGGCTCCCAGGCAGCTCCCCGGAATGATGCACTAGACATTTTTGTAACCGGGTGCAGAACAATGGATTCCCCTGATGCTTGCTTTAAGCATGATTTTTTGTTTTGCAAATGCAATCCTGGGAAGGAAGGGTAAAAGTGAGGTGAAGCGATGGGCGGTTTTCAGGATCAGATTCTTGCATTGAGACATTAGAAGGGTCCAGGAATAGTCCGGGCACAGTGGCTTATGCCCAGAATCCCAGCACTTTGGGAGGCTGAGGTGGGTGGATCACTTGAGGTCAGGAGTTCGAGATCAGCCTGGCCCACATGACGAAACCGCATCTCTACGAAATATACAAAAATTAGCCGGCTATGGTGGCAGGCGCCTGTAGTCCCAGCTACTCAGGAGGCTGAGGCAAGAGAATCACTTGAACCTGGGAGGCAGAGGTTGCAGTGAGCCAGGATCACGAGACTGCATTCCAGCCTGGTGACAGAGCAAGACTCCCTCTCGAAACAAACACAAACAAAAACAAACAGGTCCCAGGAACAGAAGAGGAGGTGTACATTGTCGGAACAGTGGCCTGATCCTTTTTTCTTCTCTTAGGAGGAGGGGGTGAGCTGGGGAGCAGGAATATGAAGGCAGCAGGGACCTGGAGGGCGGGAGCAGCTGCTCCTTGCCCAGAGCTGGGAGCAGCTTGCTGGAAAGGCATCGTGCTCTTCATGGGGGCATTTCTGCACATGGGCTCTTGTGCTCATGGCTTAGAGGCCCTGCCTGTGAAATACTTCACTCTGAGGCTGGCAGAGCAAACACAACAAGCAAATCAACAAACAGGAGATGCTCCATCTAGCCTCCCTTTCGTCAACAGGGTAAGGTGGGCTCTGACTGAGCTGGTTTCCAGGCAGCCCCAATGGTCTGCGCCACATCAGGGGAGCGTCCCCAGCTTGCGCTGGCCCAGTGTAGCCCTTATAACCCACCGCCACATAAAGCTGCCAACACGCTCTGCCCCTTCGTGTAAAGACACAGCAGACACCCACAGTGATCATCAGGATGACTGGGCAGGTTCCCTTAGGATTTTGTGTAACTCCTATGGCCAATTATGCCCAAGGAGCTAATTAAAAAGCTAAAAATACATAGTTGTACCAATAATCAAAGAAGGTATTAATTCGTACCTATTAAATCAAGGCGTTTCTAATGCACTTCATTTAGGCATCTTTAAAAAGCCCTGCAAACATCGTTCCTTTGATCTTTTGGCATCCCCCAAGAAGAGTGAGTGGGAAATTTACTTCTTGGGGTAAATGAGGTCCGGGGAAATTAAGGAAAACTGCCTAAGGCCACACAGCAAGTAAGTGAGGGAACCAGAAATAGAATTCAAGGGCACATGGTCCATTACTCTAACCTCTAACTATGTTACTTTCCCCAGGAGTCCACCAATTAGTGGGTACAACTCTCACTGACTAATGGGTGGTTAACTTTACAAGTGGAATGAGTTTTACAAATGAGCTACAATATGATTAAGGAGAAAGTAAAAGAGCAAATCTTTCTCGTCCTGCAC